GGGGGGGGGGGGGGGGTAGCGTTGGTGCATCACAATTTCTTCCACACAATCCCGAATCCTGCACCGCTTCCGTCCTCGACTCTTCCATCCTTTTATAGTGTACCATCCCTTGCTCCCCAAATTCATCCACATTTAAGATCTTGCAGCACCACCTCGTCGGCTATACCCCACTCTCCCCCGTTGCTGCTGCGCCTCCCTCCCCTCCCGCTCCTCCCCCCTTCACCGCATCCCCATGTCCCCGTCTGCTCCTGCAGACTTCTTGTATCCTCCCCCACTGGTAGCCTTGGAAGGTGGGGCTGATCGGGATGTACTTGAAGACGGGCTGTCTGCGGATGAAGTCCATTCCAAACGGCAGGTCGTAGGATCTCATCCCCTCCAGCTCCGCTGCACCGAGACCAGTGCCAAGTTTCAGCTTCCTGACACCTCGTTCTTCGAGGGTGCCTGTGGAGAACAGGAAGAACGATCAGAGTCATGAGACCGGATATATAACCACCTTGGCATGTTCTGACTTTGTATCTACACCTATACCTGCTCGCCATTCACAGCCACGTTTTTACGATTTTCTTCCTTTAAAAATGTTTTGTGCACTCTAATCTACCATTACATTGTTATTTATCAAGATCACTCTGAAGCATAAAGTACATTCATTTTTAGGGTGGACCTCTTTTTAAATCATCAGTTTATTCCACATGTGTCAAACACCTTACCAGGGATAGTATTGTCCAAAATGAAGGCGACGGAGCCTCCGACGAACATAGCAGTGGTGAGGAGCACGTTCAATACTTGGTCAACCTCGACGATGCCTGAGAAAGATAGAGACGGGGCTTAATAACGGACTTTATTATGGCTTAGTTTTCACAGTTTCTGGAACTGAAAAATTACCGAAACCGACACTGTGAATCTCTAACCGACCTCATTTCAGTCATGTTAGTGTGTTCAGCAAATGAATTCCCTCAGAAGGGTTGTCAACAACTTAATTAGTGAAGCTAAGAGAAGCCATATATGTGTTAATCAGCTCTCTGTTTTCTCTTTAAAATGCATGAACGGGTTCTTATTAACTGAATGTGTTGAACAAAAGTTTAATCTCATTTATGTTACTCCTTTTTATTGCTCAGTACAAATTACAAATGAACAAAAGTCCACTGCAAGGACAGAGAATCTTCAGCTCCATTAATCGTTATTGCTGAGGTAAATGTGACAAGTTTGTAAACACGTTGTGATCTCTCCCCTCCACTCACCGGTGACCAGCGGGTTCTGTTTGAGGTAGCTCGGCAGCATCAGACCGAAGAAGATGGAGAAACCCAGAACAAAGAGGTTCCTGGAGGAGTTGAGGTCGACAAACTGCAGGTTGGAGAGTCCCACTGCTGTGATCATACCGAACAGGGTGCAGAACAGAGCTCCCAGCACAGGGTCGGGCAGAGAGGCGAACAGGGCGCTGAATTTACCCACGAGCCCCAGCAGCAGCATCATGGCGGCTCCGTACTGAATCACACGTCGGCTGCCCACCTGGAAGACCAGTCAGAGATCAGAGGAAAGCCAGTCAGGGAGAGAGCTACATATATTTGGTTGCACCGGAGTGTGACGCGTGGTCTCACAGTTTATTCATACCTACAACGGAATGACACTCGTAGAAAGGGACAATGGGTAAGGATAAGGATGAGAAAGCTTATTCTATTGCCTATTATTTAATCTATAAATGTCAGCAAATCGTGAAAAATTTAATTACAATTCAATTTAATTTAAAATGATTACAAGGTGACTTTTTCAAGTTACATTAAGTAAGTACAATGTTTGTTTTTTTGCACTTGAAAAGCGACTCAAACGACTGAAAGACTACTTAAATAGTTGCCAATAAATTTTTTAACTTATTGTTGAACAGTTTGTGATCAATGAAGCAAATTATCGTTTCGGCTCCCGTTTGATTATTTGCACAATTAAAACATTGCGGTAAAAAGAAATACAATACCTAAATGAAAGTGTGCAGGAAGAGAAGGAAACTAAGAGAATTACACAAAGTCTACCCGACTGTAAAACAAATAAACAAACAAACATAAAAAAACACCAGGATAAAAAGTCAAATGAAATAATGTGCAGGTGTGTGTTACCTTTGTGATTCCCAGGACGCCTATATTTGGACTGGAGGAGGTGGAGCCATTTCCTGTCCCAAAAAGACCATCCAACACACAGGAAATACCTTCTACAAATATCCCCCTACAGAGACGGCAGAAAAACAAGCTCGTTGAAGTGTCTTTCAGGAAGTGAATTCACAAACAAACTGAAACATCAGAAAGAAGGAGAAGAGCTAAACTGAAGCGTTACCTATTGATGGCATGGATTGGAGGTGGCGGAGCGCAGGAGAGACGTGCGCAGGCGTAGTAATCTCCGATCGACTCGATGATGCTGGCCACCACCGCGCTCATCATACCGATCACACCTGCAGTCGTCACCGTTGGAACGCCCCACTGGACTGTCGAAGTAAAAACACAGAGCGGGTCAGAGGGGAGAAACAGCTGCATTCAAAACAGAAAGTATCTTTGTCTAGATTTTATGTCAATTTCATATTTTTCAGTTCAATCTCTAAATTGGTTCTGAGGATTTCTTTGTGCCGTACATTTTATTGTTTTGTTTATTTTGTGTACATCACTGTTTCACCTCTTCCTACAAAAACAATTCCCATTATCTATATTTCTGTCTTCACAGACTTTTGATCTGATTAGATAGTAAATAGCATTCCATTGTACTAGTACTTACTGGAATGATAAACTTACATTTATCTTAAACTGTCACATCGCAGAGATTATTATTCCTCACTACCCGACTGATCAGTGCAACCGAAACCGTTCCACTAAAGCTGTGTCGAACCCGTTTATGGAGACCAGGCAGAACATCAACAATCCTTTCTAACAGCCCCCCCCCCCCCTCCCAAACACACTTACATGGATATGGGACCTTAAACCAGGGTGCAGCTGCGACGATCCCTTTACGTGCGTCGGTGCGGGCGTAGTAGCCATACTTGTCTACCTCCGGCGGGAAAACGTCAGTCACAGTGAAAATGAAACACAGCAGCCATGACACCAGGATGGCCATGATGATCTGTGTGAAAATAAACCACCAATCAGACATTCGCATTAAAGATGAACTGAAATTAAACAAACAAACTCAGTAATCCTGTATCCTTGTGTCAGTTATTTCTTGTAAAAATGCCATTTATTGAGAATTGTTGTATACAAATTTATTTTCTCTTCCTGTAGAAGCTACTAATACTATTCAACACATCACCAGCAGAGGGCAGGAAAACACTGATTTATAGACTGCACAGAGGCAGGCAGAGGGAGAACCTCTTAACCTCCCAGGGAGAAATAGATTAGCTATGTTGATGAATTTGGGACTTAGATGGGAACCTAGTCTGCGGTGGAGGCAGGGGGTCAGTTGTAAAGGAAACCAAAGCTAATTAATTAAAGGAGAGCAGAGTTTTTGGGAATCTAAACGTGACGACCAGCCACAGTTTGTGCAAAAAGCAACACACTGGGGTATGTATGTACTTGTACTAGTTGTTTACTTACAGGAAACATTTTGAAGACCTGCAGCCTGTAGAAAGTCCAGCCTTTCTTGGCTTTGTAGACCGGCAGAGGGAAGTGAACGTTCCTGGCATACTGAGAGAAGAGCAGCACCAAGAAGATAGTCCTGCAGACAGACACAATCTCCCTCAGTTTGGTGGATCGGAGAACAAATCCCGTACAGACATGTTCCATTTACTCCCGTCTACGGCTTGGACCCCAGAGGCCCTCAAAGCCAATCAATTATCCTAACTGCCCGAAGAAGAAGCAAATCAGCGGCAGATAACAGGCACATATCCTCTGTCCCTGCGGAGCGAGAGGAGGAAGCCTCCAGCTACAGTGTGAACAGTCGTGAGACAGCAGGAACTGCTGCTCACACCACATGAATATCACAGCTTTGAAGGGGATCTTCCCCCATGAGTCAATCCTCTGTTTCATATCACGATCCAGTGTGATCTTTCCTTGCATGAAAAGAAGTTCTTTCCTCATTATTTTCCCAAACATCTTCCTATCTGCTTCATTTTTAGCTGGGAATATCTCTAGGAAGTTGATTTCGCTGTACATCAGTTCAGTGACTGACCTACAAGCTATGAAAACATGTTTTTGTTGACACATGACTTTGCATTTCTTTGCGTGAGAGTCTGAACTTACAGCATAGCAACGCCCCAGTGTTTTCCAGCTCTCTCCCCCGCAGCCTGGAAACCAGACAGGCCGATGAGGGTCACGGTGGGAGTGATAGTCAGAGGTCCGATGAACTTCAGCAGGAGCCCGGGCAGACCCAGCGCTCCGATACACACCTCGACCAGGGAAGACACGATGATGGCCCCTTGGATCTGACAGAACGCAGACATTGTAGAGAATAGAAGAAAAAAATGTTCATGTTAAGATGTTTAAAAAAAATAATTATGAATCAGAACATGAAACTACCCACTTAAACACTGATGCAGTTTTAAATTACGTTCACTATGAATCAACTCTTAAAGCACAGGTGCCAGCTCAGAGGGATACAAGATGATGTTGACAGATGCAACTGAAAAAAGATTTTAATTTAACACTTAAATCTAAATTATTACACCCTGAAATAAAGAGTGTTTTCACTAATGGCAAAAGAAATTAATACATTTTACAAAATACAATATTTTGTTTATTAAAGCTACTACAAGGAACTTTCATTTTGTGTGAATTTTGGCGCTCCCTGTGGACGACAGTGGTAGTGTTTCTTCAAGCACCAGACTCCCTTTAGAAATCCTCTTTTTACTGCAGCAAGGTCCCGCTGCCCTGCGCAATTAACTGTACTTTACTATTAATAATAACTACATAGAGATAGTCCATCCTCTTGCTGATGGTCTCGTTTACTTATGCGGGTCATATAGAGGCATCAGTGGTAAATCGACCGTTTCATAACCAGTTAAACGTTTCTCACAGTAACTGTAAGCTTTAGATAATGAGCAGTGGCTCTAAAATCACAAAGTAAAGTCCACATATTTTATCAATGAGGTCATTATTAGAACACACGCTCTATCAATTGATCATAAGAAAAAAATCTGTCTGATTCAGCTGAGGACCGATCAATCACGCCGTGCGTTTGCTGAATCCGGTTCATAGCAAAATAATGTGAAATGAACTGAATGAATCCTTTAGTTTGCGTCACGGTTGGAGGAGACGAGGTTACAGAACAATAACCCTGTTTGCCTCGTCTTCATCCGTCTCTGTGTTCTCTGCGGTCAAACGCACGTTCCTCCTGCTCAGCCCATTGATGTCCCGTTCAACAATTTGATTCAGCGTGATTGAGTTTAGCCTCATTCGTGCATTACATAAAATACAATTACGCAACTGGCTTACGCAAACGGAAAAGGTTAATACAAATGAACAGCTTCTGTCATGGAGAACAGAACCCTGCAGCCATTTACAGACAGCGTTGCCATTTAGCAGTTAGGAGAAAAAGATCCTGTCGCTTAAGTAACATCAATAATCCAACTACAGTTGTGTAAGAAGTTGTGCAATATCTTATGCAAATATTTATTCAGTTTCAAACAATCTGCCTTTCCACAAGAAGGCCTGTTAGAGCAATTTGATCCCATCTATCTAGTTTATCTTTCTCCTTCTTAAGCTCCCCCCCCCGCTCCGTTACCATCTCTTTTATTTGTCTTTCTAAGCCTCACCTCTCGTATCCTGGGGTGCCAGATGTGCTCTGTGTTGAGTAGCTCGGTGCTGTTGAATACTGGAACCTCTGGTCATGGAAAAACAAAGGATGGAGGAGAATACGAGACAACTTAATTAGATCACTATCTGAATCATAACTCTTATAATTCATTTGGAGCGGCAAATCCCATTCAGGGACGCTTAATTCTCTGCTTCGTAGGCTTTGATGCGAACAACATTTGGAGATGGAATCTCGGTAAACAAAGATACAATAACCCAGCGCATGATATCAGATAAGAGCGTCTGTATTGAATGAGTCGAGAGTGGGAGACAAAAGGGAGAGAGGGGAGTTTACCTGTGTTAATACACTTCCATTTGTCCAGGGACAGGATGGCTCTAGCCGGTGCGAGGAAGGCGAAAGCGCTGGCCTGGAACAGGGGCAACCTGAACACAAAGAAAGCACAGTTATAAAATGAGGTTACGCGAGTCTGAATAATCACATGTACAATGTACAACAAAAGGAGTGTTAAAATAAAGTAGAAAGCAAGGTGATTTACTGTGTAGAGCCACCAGGTGACAGCATTTCAGTTACACAGAATTCATATTTATTTAAATATTGGTCACTGTGTGGAGTGTGAGAATCCCCCTGGTGTTTTTGTGGGCAATCTAAGGTCAGTCAAACACAGGACGGGGTCGTAAGTTCAGTTATCGATGCCACAGATTCACCTCCTTCCTGCATTTTTTTCCTCTTTTACTCAAACCATCCCCCCCCCACACACACACACACTCATAAAACATATTTCCTGTAACGGCCTTTTTGTGATTCAGACAATGGTCATGGGTGACCTTTAAAAATGGCAACTGTAATACGTGTTCATGACAGCAGAGGGATATCAAAAGATTGTATCGGTGATAAAAATAGAACACAAACTGTTGTGACGTCATATTCGTGGAAATGCCAAGGGCAGAAATGAAAGGTTGCAAACAAACCAAAAATGAGATAGGGCACTTTTATTTTCTTAAGAAAGAGGAAGTGAACATTCATAAAAGCAGATTTAAATGTACACCTGCACAATGGCTTCAGACCAAATAACCCCCACCCCCAAAAAAAGGATGACATGACAAAGATCAAATTTGGATTGACCCATTGTTTATCTAAAAGAGATTTGTGCAGCCATTCTAATAGCCTTACAGCTACATGTGATGTTTGAGTGTGATCACGTTCTTTTGTACAGCTTCTTGTTTCCAATGTGTGTAAAAGACAGATTAATAGAAACATTAATGTAAAATACACTCCAATCTGCCGCTAGTTTTTTTTATAGGATTTAAGCTTGAGACCTCAAGCTGTTTGATTCCCTGTACTGAGTGACACAACCTAAGCAGGAAACATGATGAGAGACTTCTCTTTTTGGTCTTCCAGGAGTTTACTCAAACGAATATTTAGACATCTATGAGGATGCGTGTATATCTGTAGCAGGGTACAACCAAGTATTGACTTCCTTATGAAACGGAGGTCCTTTGAAGCAAATCCACACAGATCCTGTTATTGTTTTTTCTGCTCTATAATACAGAGTGTTATGCAGTATGAAATCAGGCCAAAGCTGGGTAAAGCTTTCAAACTGCATATACTAAAAGAAACCAGTCTGGCTTGCTCAGATCGCTCTCATGTGTGCTTGAAGTATAACAGCAAACAACACAATTTAGACTTCAAACAGATTGAAGAACTGTCAAACTGCTGAATCAGTGAATCACATCGGACTTCGCGTTCTAAGCAGGCCTCTGTGTTCCTGTGTGGACTAAGCAGTGAATGTCAAGGAGTGATTCTCCCGATTGCACTGACTGTAGCCACTTTTTAATAATATCTGTAGTAATTTAAGTTTGCAGTATTTGTTGCATTGTGTTTTGTTGTTTCTGTGAAAGTTTTGGGACGCAAGCACTTCAGCCAGGAAAGCTTGTGGTCATGCTGGGCAGATTTGAAGTAAAACTAAAGGAAAGTAAAGAGGCTTTACTTTTTAATAATAAAAGTAAACTAGATTGATTATGCGTCTATTTCAGCAAACAAAACAGAATGATAAGAGAGGAGAGACGGTTAATAAAATATGCTATAAGAGAGTAAATCCACATTGAATCATCTTAAATTACAAAAATGTCTGCAGGTGGCAGCTGCTCAGAAGCACAATTCACCTTTCCTGGAAAAGCATTTTCTTTTTTTCCCCTCTCAACTTCACTTGGCAGCATAACTTATTAACCCCCTCCACCTCTTCTTTCCATCCTCCTCACAGTATTTCTCCCGGGTTTTCGACTCTTGAATGACCACTTGTGACCAGATTAAAATGCTAAACTTATAGCAAATGTTTAAAATAAATATATGAAATAGGAAAGAGCGAGGAGCGACTGAGTAAGAGATGGAGGGACAGACTCCAGCTTTCTGGAGGCTACGCTGAACAGGAACTTTCCCTGTTGTTGCTGTGACAAGGCAAATATTAGGCATCATCTAAGCGTTGAATATTAAATGTTTGAAGAAAATCTGTCTACAGCTGAGCTGAACTCGGGGGGGGAGCTTTTTCAGGTGTGAAAAAGTAACCCAGATGTGTGGAGCCTGTGTGGAGTTTGAAAGACACAGGCATTTACCAGGCTAATGGCAGAGGCTATTGTGTTGCATTACGGGAAGTGTAGGATCTTGCATTTTTGAAGCCCGAGTCAGGGACTAAAAGGCATTATATCGTGGCCTCTTTTGGTCAATATTGACAATTCTTTTTTTGTTGAGTCTCTTGCCCCCTCTACCCCACCCCTTTACGGAAGAACAAGACAAAAATCAGTGGAATTTCCCTTTAACCCCGATGTCCAGTGCCTGTGGTGGAGGAGATAAAGGCTGCAGATAACACTGTAGAGAGTAAGATTTCTTTTTTGCTGGTACCAGTATTTGCAGGCAGTGACCTAACAAACATGCTCGCTATGAGCAGAGCTGTGATACCGAAAGGAAACAAAGTAAATATCTTGGATAAGTAAAGCCCATCAGTATTGAAAATGTTCTGTATACTGGACAGTCTGTGGTCTGTTGACATTGGAATGTAGCCGGAAACCTTGTTTCCGCACATGTATTTGTTCTTTATTTGGACACTGAGGAAGTACCTAATCAAAAGCTTGAAAGGCAAATGACGCATGGCTTTTCAAAGTAAATCAAAAAAGTTTGAAGATCCTAAAACTACAAAAATCCACACTAGCGAGTTAAAGTCCTCTTCTATGAGGTGTTAACAGCGAGCATCTGTGTGTCTGTCTAAGCGTCTCAATGAAAACGACACCGTAGCTCGTCCAGAAGTGACGCAATAGTTGGACTACATGTAGGTCACTCCTCTGGTCTGCAGCCACATGTCTCTAGTTTCTGGCTTTTCTTCATATTCTTTTCTGTCGTCTCAACTCAGAAAATATAAGTGTCTTCTGGGAAGTTCACCTTCTACTCAAAGTACAACTGCAGTCACATGAACGAAACAAGGAAGTTGAAATGTTATTAACTCATCACATTCTAGTGGACAATATGCATACAAGACAACTGCTAGAGAATTAAAAATCCTCCTGTAAAAAAAGTCAGAAACATCATATATTCCTGCTTGAATGAATCTGTGAGATATCCTCAATATCAATTTATATGTAAAAAAACAGACTGTTGTGGGAACCTACCATGACAAAAAAAAAGGATATGCAAGCATCTGCTTAAATGCACACACACACACACACACACACACACACACACACACACACACACAC